ATCATTTGCTTACTATATGGAGATATAGTTACCTGAGAAAGCAACAAAACTGGATGTTGTAATTCGGTAAGATCGAGAATAGGTGTATTAGTTGTACGCCCGTTTGAATGGTTAAGAGTTAGACATTGACATTGACGATGGAGATCAATGATAACTTGGTTATTTTTTAGCCAATCATGACCAAGCAATAAATTAGCGATAAGGTCTGAAGCAACATCAGCAACAATAAAGGTTTTGTGACCATTAACTTTTATTTCAAGCTCGACTTCACCTATAATGTTGACTGATGTACAACTAGCAGATTGATATGTTTTTTTTTAAAGAAATTTTTTATGATGAATTTTTTTCAGGAGTTGTTCATGAATTATAGTAGTGCATGATCCCGTATCGACTATGGCATATTGAGAAACATTATTTATTTGAACTTTAATATAAACAGGAATTGGAGTTGATTTGGTTGAAGAAAATAATGATGGCTTTTCATATTGGACGGAATCAGTGCCATCGGCTGATTCCGCTAAAGGAAAACCTGTGGACAATCAACTACGCGGTGTCCTCTATGTCCACATTTAAAACAGCCATCAGGTTGGCGTTGATAACATTCGATAGTACGGTGATTCCTAAGACCACAGATAAGCCATGGTGATAAAGATGTTACCTGAGGTTCTTGAGATGAGTGTATTCGATTCTTTAACCCATAACTTTCCGAAGTATTGTTGGTACGAACAGGTCGATGATAATTAGAATTATCATATACAGTTGATTGGTTTATTGGATACGGTTTCGATAAGGGTGGTATATGATTTGTATATAGCTTTGCTGTTGATGAAGAGTTCACAGCCGATATCATCATATAAGATTGAGTAGGTTGATTAAAGTACGTATTATTAGTATCCAAAGATTGATTAATTTTTTCGACATGTTCTTCAATTATTGCAAATTTTAGAAACGTTTCTGGTGTAGGATCATTGTCCGTTAGCATTAATCTGGTTATATTCATTTTTATTTCATCTCTAATACCTTTTTGAAGAAAATGTAATATCATTTGTTTCGACATTTTAGAATCAGTGCGACGACACAATCGACAAACAACATCATAATAATCATTCAATGATTCATGAGCTTCCTGTTTTCGACTGTCTAAAGTGCTAAACAAAGTCTGATTCAACCATGGTTATTGAAATCTTTCTCGAAGACAAGTTCTCAATATGGACCAAGTATTTAAATAATTCTGATTATCTTTATACCATCGTTCAGCTTGACCACTAAGTTTTTCTTTTAACAAAATATGTAGTACTTCCCCTGGTTCGTTTGTTAATGAACCTATATTTTCGATTTGTTCGATGTACTCATCAACATCTTGAGTGAGGTCACCTGTGAATGATTGTAAACTACGATGGGTCTCTTTCTGAGCTTGTAACAAAATAGCACTTGTGATTGTTCGATTTGTCTGAACATCAGAAGACCGTACAGTAGTTATAGAATCAGATTCAATCATTGAATTGGATTTCATATTAGCCTTTCTTTCAGGATAGTCGAGAGTATTGCCTGAAAATAGAGTCGACTTATCTTTTATTTGAGATCTTGTGCCGGTCGCCGTTTTTTATTCTTGAATGAAATCGTTCTTAACAGGAAATTCTCTTAAATCAATACTTTATTATGTTTAAAGAAAGAAAAAAAAATGTTCTTGTTTTTTTTTGAAATAAATGATGTGTATGAGTCACTCCTGAATACAGGATGTCCCAATAATAAATTGTGTATGTTAATAATATAATCTTGAACTTCCTCAGCAATTGTTGTTCATGAGGATCGGGTGACGGCACCAATGTTAGGATTTTTTATCTTCTTTTATTTTATTGAAATAAATATCATAACATGAACAAAAAACGAGATAACTAAGGAAACAGTTACGATGATCAACGGTATAACGATTGCCAACGATCCGACCAAAACAAACTAAACAAGATCACCACTCAACACCATCCATCGATCCCAAAAACATCGATCGATTAGAAACCAACCAACAACAACGGAGAAAAAACTATAACAGGATAAATTGAAGGTATGTTGGGACGACAGATGTCGTCCCATAACAGTTCATCTGAAAAATCTACCCTGATTTCCAAAGCCTATAATTAGGTTATTGCCTATTTGCTTATGTCTGTAATCGAGTATTAATTGTTAGCTCGTATATTTATCAATGACATATACTAGTTTCTATGGTCTGTAATGGGCAAGCATCGCTTTTTCGTGTAGTCTGTAGTTAAAAAAGGAAGAAATAACAGCCTAATTAGTCAAGCTCCTAATTAGCACAATTTTAAACTAATTAATGTCTGTAATGGGGAGAGGGGAGGGGTGAGGAGCCGCAAAAATCTCGCATTTAAACTTACACTCACCATTTTCTTCGAAAATATATGTGAGTTCCACAAAATTATCAACTATTTAGCTCGTTCCTATGACTAAAAACACCTTTGCAAAAGAACCATCACTTTTGATGTAAAATTCAACTTTGCAGTTAGGTGTGCACCATTTCCAATTCGAATTCGAATCAATTCGATTCCTAAAATTGGTCGGAATTTAGTTGGAATTCGAATTGGGCATTCTTATGGTTGAATATGGAATCATATTTGTAGGAAACCTGAAAAGGTTTCTATGTCGTTGCAAATCTGTTAATCTCAATCAAGTTACGTACGGACTTTTTTCGGTGCAGATAACTTATGGAGCTTTGTTAAAAACCCGGCCTGATCTTGTCGGCTCCCTTTAATTTGATTACATGATGTGATGCGGTCCAGTCGGATCCATTTGTCGAAGCTGATCGGATTCAACGAGATCCTTTTACAGTCATATGTTTGCCTGATTCCGGGTCACTGGATTGAGGGTTCGTTCCGATAGAATCCGATTGAATTGAGATGGAAACCATCCAATTCGGACATAATCAGACATACGATCGTATCGGATGCGGCAATATTCATTGGTCGCAACTCTACACCTGGGTAGCGATTAGACCACCAATGGTTCAATATTTTTCATTTTATACGCTAATTCATCAAGAATTAAATTGCTATCGCTTTCCATTATCAGTCATCAAAAAAAACTACTTTCAATAGACAAGAAAATCATTAATTCAGCGTAATTTTCGATGAATATTTTAACAAAAACAAAGTAAAACGATTTCTGTCGAACTCTAAGAGAGGAAGCAACATACTTTTTTTCATACTTGATTTATACTTAATTAGTATTCTTTTTTCTGTAAAAGGTATATGTAATCATATGTAATATTAAATATAATCTTTCTGAGAGTACACAGCCATGCAGCTATGTACATTTGAGTACATGTAGCCATATGGCTATGTATACTTGGGTACACATAGTCAGTTAGCTATGTGTGCTTGAATGCACCTACACTGGAAAAAAAAGAAGTACTCTACGAAACTTAAAAGGGTTCCGAGATTTGCAACAAATTCGAAACCCTTTTGCGATGTCGTACGGAACCTTAAAAGTTCCGTATAGTCTCACGAACCCTGTGCCGGAGTCTCCGATATTTTTAAGTGTTTTGTGAGACTTTACGAAACCCTTGAAGAACCTCGAAGGTTCCGTATGGTAAAGAAAAACGGTTTCGAATTCGTTGCAAATCTCGGAACCCTTTTAAGTTTCGTAGAGTGCTCATTTTTTTTTCAGTGTAGCCGTGTGGCTATATCTACCTGGGCGTACATAGCCACGTCCTATAAATAAATACTAAATAAAATATTTACCATTTACTTAAAACAAAAGTAAAGTAGATGTGCCACTCTCAGTTTCGATTCAGTCAGATAAAATTATTCCGCTAAAAAGATGTATTCATGATTGTGCCCTTAAAGTATAAAAAAAACACGTTTCTGATGTTTTTAGTAAGGAGCATCATAAAAGTCAATTGTGAAAACGACAACTGCAGTTAATTGTCAGAGTGAGTCAGATCTTTGTCGTTACTAACTGCATGCTGATCATCAAATCGGGATGGAATTAGAGGTGAAAGTGTCAACAACATTATCAACTCTGAAAACAAAGAAAATAATAAAGACCAGCTCAATATGGTTCACGGCAGTGATGAAGAAATCGACTAAAATGAGAATTGAGATGCACCATATGATTTCATGTTTTCAACAATCCTAGTAATGTGTTTAGTCGATAATGTACATTAAAAATTAGCTCATTCTTCTTTAAGAGTTAATTTTAACAATGAAATCGGATTTTTATAAACAAATGCATCAGGGGAAATTTGAGAAAAGAAAAAACGTTTTTATCGTCGGATAGCCTGTCAGGCGTACAAGATCGTTGAAATTCCATGTTTTATGAGAAAAGAAAAAGAAACAGCTGATTATTCATGTACTGTATCAGATTCTTATTTTGACATCCCTCCGCATGCTTCAATCCTACTTCGTTTAGTGTTCAACTACTTTAGAACGGTATTAATGAATAGATAGAATAATAAACAATACCTCAAGAAATCACAGGAAATGATTATATGACAATATGAGTTTGTTTTCCATAGACAGAGGAGATGAAAATAAACATATTAAAATTTATTACGCTTATTGCAAAAGATTATATGATATTCAGCTCGAATGGACATTTTTTCCCCGGAGAGTCATCAATATCGCAGTTGTTTTGGTGTTATAGTCTAGGAAAGCGTAAAGCTTATATAAATCGTATCGCTAGTTCATTACTAAGAATATCTTTAAGCTCGATTCGTAAAGTTATTCACGCAATAGAGTTTTATCTAATCGATATAGCTCTCTATGACGCGTTCGTCGAGGCCGATCTCATGAAGTTTGAAGAACGTTAACCCTGCTTTTTGAAGTAAGTCAACGTACTGTTGTAATGTTCGTTCGCGTCCTTCATCTGTCCCAAGCATAATAAAGTCTTCTGCATATACTGTCCATTGGCGACGGACAACCTCCGATGTTATCGGTTCGTCGAGCACAAGTTCTATAATAAATATCCTGGCGGGTCGGAGTGCCACTTTATATAATGATTTCAGCGCTTTTATGGCGTTTTCATCATTCATGTTATGTAGAATGTACTTAAGAAGATACCCGTCGGCTTTGGGAACTGTATTTGGATCGAATATGTCACCACCAACGAAACGATAGCGTGAAGGTGAAATGCCAAGTCTTTCAAAGTCGTTGTCATCCATGGATGATGATGCATGATTAATAGTTGAGGGCAAGTCAAATACAATACTGTTAACAATATTTCTATGTGACGAAAGAATGTTAGCTAATAGAGTACCACGGCTTCCTCCAACGTCTACAAGCATAGTGCAACGTGAAAATGCATCGATCGCTTTCGCGATAACTGGCCCTGTATTGTATGAAATTGTTGACATAATTGAAGCAAAAGCGACCATCATTTCATTTGATAGCTCTGAATAAAGATGAGTAATATCTTTGGATTCAGAGGCAGTCGTATGTTCATTCCCACGAATAAGTATGTGAACGCGAGAATCGCTACCAGGAGTAAGAACTAGCAAGAAGATAAATATTAGATAAAATTAAATAGGATTCCATGCGAATAAATATATGAATGACGAACATAAAGTGTTCTGTAACACTCTTCATTGATATAAAAGTCATTCATTTTCTAAAAAACATATAACTTCATAATTGCGGATGGTTCACTCACTATGTGCTTTAATTCTTTCATCTGAATGTAAGGATCGTGTAATTAAAGCTTTAATCAAAACATAATGCGTACTGGGGGTGTAACAGTTCTCAGATCTAAACTCAGATCAAATGATTGAAAGAATTGTTCGAACAGATCAGATCTAAAGAGCTGCCTGAAAAGTCCTTTTGGTAGGAACTAACACTGAACTATATTACCCAAGGGGAACAGACTGATTTCCAGGCATAGAAATCACTAGAAATAATTGAAAATCAAAGAAATCATGGAAATCAAGCAATCAGTTTGTTTTACTTTGTATTTAACAATGTAGTGGAAGCCGACAAAAACCAACGATGTCACTGATCATTAACTGGGTCTATTACAGCAACTAGCCGGCAATTTTTTGAGTAAATTGCGGTTGACCTCTACAATTTACCTGGTTTTGTGGCAGAGATAAAGTTCTAAAACTATTTTAAATAGAATTTTGGAAAAAGAAATGCAATTGTTCTATACTAAGAACGCAGACTTCGACGTCAATCTAACTACATGACAGTGGAATTCAAAAACTATATCGTTGAACAAAAGTTAGAAGTAGCTGAAATATGGACTGACAATCTTAGTGTACGCATTAGTCAAAATTTTTTTATATTTTGTCGAGCCTATCAAGTTCTTGGTGTGTCCTATTTGAAGTTTGCCAGAATCTAATCTTCTCCAATCTATTGCTAGACTCGCGCCTATCCCAGCCTTTATCTGTCCTAGTTTGAGTGTACCCATGCCTAATGGCTCCGGCACCACTAACATGCTGGTTATTAACTGATAAAAACATGCGTTTGTGAAATGATCGATTCTCTCGAGTCATCTAATCAAGCCGCAAAGATAATAACAATCGTTTTTAATGTTGTATAGTTATAATTTGATTTTTTCTTTCGAATAAATTTGAATAAATTTCTATGCATATTCATGTACATATACAGCTCTCATCGGGCTTTTCTCTACTTTTCGTACTTCAGAACAGTCGAAGTCCACTTGCCCCCCCCCCTCTTGGTGGTATCGTGAGAATCATGATTATTAAGTGTTTTACCGTTGTAAGCGGTGAGTTATATCGACTCTTCCGTTGAATAGAATACATTATGAAATGAAACAGAAATAAATGTTTTTGATTATGGGAAACTCATTTATCTATAAAAGCTGTTAGCACAATCCCTTTGGGATTAAAAGTGTGAAACACGATGAAACTTCTTTTCTGCAATTCGTCAATGACTGCCACTGGTGGTCTGTGGAGCTTCTCTATTACGGTCTGTATTATGATGTATGGGTTCTCTAGAAACCATCACAGACCGTTACAGAGAATTCAGAAATAATCACAGACCGTTACAGAGAAATTAATTAATAATTAATTAATTAACTGATTAACTAATAATTAATTAATTAACTGATTAACTAATTTCTCTGTAACGGTCTGTGGCGGAAGGGGGGGGTGGGTCCAAATTTCTACCCTATATACTTCAACACTCCTTTCAGATCGTGTTTCACAAAAGTAGTAGTAAATGATGTTTTTCATTGTACAAGGGAATTAAGTTTCTTGATCTCTCGCCATTTATTGTGTAGTGAATATTTCAGCGGGAATTATAGTTATAGCTTTCTCTTATGCTCTGATGTAGAGATGCATTCAAGTTACCTAAGCATTTGTATCATATCTGTGAAGTTGTTTCAGAATGATAGTCGAAGGGTACTTATTAAAAGCTATACTATAGTCCTAGAATGCATGGATTTTTTTACTTTCTATCAACAATATTTCTATGTTCATTTCCTTGTTATTGGTTATATTTTTCTAATAAGCATATTTACCAACTTTGAGCCGTTGGAGGAACATTAGATTATATCCGCTTAATCAGATCAAAAATACTTTTGCACTAGCGGAAAATTGAGAACTCTATTTTCAAGCTTTGACATATTATTTTATATTGAGGCGAGTATGGATATTGAATTATAAGCATTGAACCGAACTATTAGTGAAGCTGATTCCATCTGTACGAAAGATATAGATCGCTTACAATCTCTTCGAAAGACAATGAATATTTCCTGTATTTACAACATAATAAACACGAGGAGCATAATAAACAAGCTACTAAACCACCGTTTAGCTTTTGCTGGAAACATAACCAATTTTGTTCTAGTTCAATAAAAAGTTTTCAGGTTAAACAATTGAATGAGACAGTCACATTACATGACTTTTTCCACGTCAACATAAAAAGTTGCAAGTTCCAATCGTTTGTAATCGACTGTTAGAGAGGCACTGAAAAAAACTATATTGACGACTTATGTACCGCAGCTTTGTCATCTATGTCCTTAGAGTTATTCGATCGGTGAACTACTATCTAAAATCAATTTGACAGCAGCGAAAGCACAGCGTTAACCTTGTACATGGAAGTTAAGCCAAGCAAATACTTCAGCAATCTTTCTGTGCAATCATGGATCAGTTCTAAAGGACGGGGACGCATAAGATGTTAGTTTTGAATCATCGTCTTCCTCAGTTTGCTTATAGCTCATTAGACGCAGCATTTTACGAGGAATCGTGTGATATCAAAATCAAGTCACTTCGAAACAATCTACGGGTAGTTCCGTTCAAAATAGTGAAATCCGATTTTGTATATAAATGACTAATTCTTATATTGAAGAAACGCATATATGGTATGTTCCCTAGTGCGGTATTTCGAATCGGAAATTGTGTCAAATAAATACCCACTCTCTGCTCAATCTTTGGTGAGAATTTCAGCCCAAACGATTCAAATGTTACTATGCAGCAATGAAAAATCTACCAAGGTCAGTATAAAAATTATAAAATATTGCAATCTAACCACGCACTGCTTTCGCAATATCTCAATAAAGGAAAAAAATGAAATGTGGTTTCGATTGATTCTACAAGATTGAACGCAGCGGTAAAAAATCTGATACGTTTGGTTTGTTCAAAAGTGACCTTCAAAAAATAAAATGGCATAACTTTCCATCAGATGAGTGTTTTTGCATTTTTCTCAGATTTCTCGCCTGTTTTAATCGGAAAAAGGCGAATTTGATAGAATACAAATAAAATATTTGGAATCAGAGTAAAAATTTTAGTTGGTTGACGTGCGTATCAGCCTCTTTTAATGGAATTTATTTTTCTCAAAAAATTATCCTGGACTCCACTCAGGGTTGACAGAATAATTTAATCAAAATACGCTTTTCTATCCTTTAGGTATGTGTTTTTTTGCGGTGCTAGTGTTTTACACATTTTAACACTATTCCTTCGATAAAACTTGTTTTTGATTGAATTAAATGTGTCAATGAATGATGTGAGGAACACCAGGCTAATTTTTCGAGAAGAAAAATTTCATTGAAGAAGGCTGAAATGTGCATCAACCAACTCAACTTTTTACTCTGATTCCAAATATGTTAGTTGTTTTCCATCAAATTTTACTTTATGAAGGCACTCCTGAAAAAATTCAAAGGCACAGGATTTTGTAGCGTTTTGTTCAATCTTGAAAAAACAGTAAGTGGGTAGATAGGAGTATTTTATAATTTTTACACTAACCTCGATAGATTTTTCATTACTACACAGTAACGTTTCAACCGTTCGAACTGAAATTCTCACCAAAGATTGAGTAGTGAGTGGATAGTTATTTGGCACAATTTCCGATTCAAAATATCGCACTAGGGAGCATACTATATATGCGTTTCTTTAATGTATGAATGAGCCATTTATATACAAAATCGGATCTCACTATTTTAAACAGAACTACCCGTAAAGTCTTTCGAAATGACTTAAATTTGGCGTAAAACGATTCCTCGTGAAATGCTGCGTCTAGTGAGCTATCAACAAACTGAAACACACGATGGTCCAAAACTGGCAACTTATGGGCCCTCGTCCTTTGCTAGTGTAGATAGATCTTTATCAAAACTAACTAGTTTCTTGTCTACCATGAATATTTTCTTTGCATATCATTGATCAGCATTGGTGTGGTGGGCAGTTACGAGACGATTAGCGGCAATTGACTCATCGAAAAAATCTAATATCCAATAACTATTTACTTGTTTATCTATTGGCTGCTGTAAACGAATCAAAATATGCATCATTAGTACAAGTATCTGTACATCAGCGACACCTGGTAGCTGTTATTGGGGAAAAAAAGATATCAGGAAAACTATTTTTTAAAGAAAGTTCTCTTTTCGCTAATTTATTTTTGTTTAGTCATTTGACTTCAACCAACAGTGGCATGTATCCAAGAGTTTGGAGAAGTGAGCACTACTCTTTGTTTTTCAGTTCAATTGTTCTTCAGCAATTTTATGTATGATTACCTCTTGTTTTTGGTTATTTTGGTCAGCAAAATCTTTATATTGGTCTCAACTCATCCAAGTGTAGTAAGTTCATTTCTATTTTTCGCGCGATATTTCGCGTCTCGTTGTCTACTGAGGAAGTTCCGAACTTTTGATCTTGCCGAATTCTTAGAGAACGGACAAGAACCTCGCAAGCTCCAGTTAAATTTATCTGATTTTTCGTTCACACCAAAGCGCGAGCAATATCAACTGAAGCGTTTTTTAGCAACTGTTTCTGTTTTCTTCATGAAGCAATAAAGGATCTTAAAAAATGTTCATTTATGGGTCTTAGAATAGTTTATGAAGGATGAGACTGCGTATTTATTCGCATCCCATCATATTTTACATTATCTCCGCCAATGATCCCAGGAGTATTATTTCGCAAATTTTCTGCAAATGCCCTCCAAAATCTTGCTGTTATTTTTGGGAGGGTTGTAGCCAGAAATGCCACAACAGGATCTGTCGACTGTATCAAGCTGCGAGTTATGAGAAGTTCCTACTGGCTCTAAAGTGGACCGAACTCGTTCGCTGAAATACTACTGAAAGCCCCAAAACCTGCCATTTCCGCGACGGGTTCTTGAGCTTGGTAGAAATGAACAATAAAAAAGTAAGAATTTGCTTCTAGGTCGTAACGATAAAGGAAAATTTACATTACAGTTATCAATAGGCGAAATTTTAAAAAAATCGAGTCAGACCTATTTTACATTTGATAATCTAATGCAATTACCACGTAGTTCTAATTGTATTCAAATCTGTGAAATGTTCAACGAATTTTCTGACTTTTTTAATCCTTGTTAACTCTCGTGGTCTCTTCAGCATAGCTTAATTTTCTAACAATTTCATTCACTGCCTAACTGAATTTGAGACTGTTTAAGACAATTTAACGATCGAGAGATCGACATGGTAACAGAACACACTCATGTAAGTCGGTGATTGGATACTTTTTACAGTACTTGGTGCTTTTCCTACTTTTTATTTAAAAATCTTTAATACTTAGTACATTTGTGCAGTACAATTGCATATGCTTGGTACTTCAGCACATTTTACTTAAGTAGAATGTACTGTAGTACCGGTACCACAATACATTGTACTTTAGTACCGGTACCACAATACATTGTACTTTAGTACCGGTACTAAGTACACGTGTATTGGGGACTTAATGAGATGTTATCTAATTTAATCTTTTTGTTAGCTGCTTGTTTGTGGCTTCTGTGGAACACATGCTTTTAACAGCTTCTCATCTCTAGATGATATTTCAAAAACTTAATAATTATTTTAAAGCCTAAAAAGTGCGCACAGATGATGTGCTTTTCAGATAATCTTGCTACGTAGATAACAATGAATATTTGAATTTTATGGATTATTATCTCTGTAACATCAGATTGTAGATGAAATAATGTTTTCCTTTTGCAATGCGATTTTGTTTGGTGTTACTTGATGATAATTCTGTTGCTGATCGATGATTTCTACCATTAGCAACTTCTGATGAATCTTCAACTTGATCAAGAAATAATTTTTCATATTAAGGTGTATGTTTTCGTTTTAAGCGTTTCAGAAAATTGCTTAAAAATCCACATTTATTCTTATAATTTTGACTGCACGATTTACAATAGCCATTGACTCTATTTTTTGTCAATTGTGAAAAAATCTAAATATGGTTTCAATTGTTCAGGACCTATTGCAAGGAGGAAAAGATGGATGTGGGATTTTGAAAATCCCAAAAATCCGCTTTTCCCCCTTGGCCCATTGAGTATTGATGAAGATTCGAATAGAATTTATTTTCAGGTATTAGAGTGTTACATGAATAACAAATAGCCGGCGTTATGGCGATGTCCTCGAGATCGAAGCACCCATTGTTTATGTTACACCAATAAACTTTTTTTTCCGTAATGTTTATTGTCCTCCTCTCAGTCATATATATCTATATTCACTATTACTTAGAATAATTGAAACTATATCGATTTTATGTCGATCAATACAAGATATTGTAATATCAATATTTCCTTATATTGTTTTTCAGTCCTACAGATATCAGTAAATCATGAAAATAGTAAATATTCGCTTGGAAAATAATAATACAAGCAAAACATGCAATTATGGCGAAGAACTAAGTATACTTGTACTTAGTACCGGTACTTTACTGCATTGTACTAAAGTACGCTTGTGCTTAGTACCAACACTAGGTACGATGTGCTACCGTACATAGTACTTAGGTACACGTCCAAAGTAAATTAGTTAAGTAACAAATATTTGTACTTGTACTTGTCGTACTTGTACTTGTCCAATCACTGATGTAAGTAGACCTACGACAGTTCCATATTAGTTCCGATCTTTGGAACTGTGTCACAAGTTCTTTGATCGGAACTGAACTGTTCGAACAGTTTTTTGGTCGGAACTGATCTGTGTCATACAGTTCTTTGATCGGAACAGATCATCAGATCTGAACTAAAACGGAACTGTCACACCCGTAGTCCGTTAAAAAGTTTATTTTCAAACAATATGCGCATTACTTGGAAACACACTACATCCTAGATTCATGATAGA